GCTACCATGACTGATGTGTGCAATGTTTGATGGGTGGAATTGTGGGAAAGGGAATGAACACAGTTAAAAGCTCTGTCAGCCAACATTGCCCGAGTTGTTAAGTTGATAAGATTACACAATTAGGCCTGATTCATGGGACTGAATATATTTTGTTTGTTAAGTGGTGCAGATGTTGGATAAACTGTACATGTAATTTTGGATTGATCAACTTGCACAAGTGATGCATATGCATACTGGAAAGAAGATTGATAGGCTTTGCCTGTGCTACTTAGTGAATGGGTTGTATAGGTGGTGAATGTACTGCTGGTTTCAATAGAATAAATTGATGCTGTTTCTACATGTGCATGAATAAATAATTATTTTGCATCTGAAACTTGCAGAAAAGAAATAAGATAGCTGGTCAAAGCAGGCATCAGCTCTTGAAGTCTAGACAAATTGCCACCTGTTTCTTCTGGAAATCTGAGGTACCATTTTTGCCTGCTGTTAGAATGGCGCATAATAACTATCTTTAGTGGCTGTTATCCCATAATATCTATTTATTAGGTAGTAAAGATTGTATTCAAATTAAGCATACCTTTGTGAAAGGGTTGAAAGATCTCCAGTAGGGAGCAGTCAGATCTTCTGGCAAGGTTTCTTTAATCGTTCATGGGATGAGGGCATCGCTGGCTAGAGCAGTATTTATTGCCCATCCCAGGGCATTTAAGAGTCAACCACATTGCTGTCAGATCTGGAATTACATGTAGGCCAGACCAGCTAAGGATGGCAGTTTCCTTCCTAAAAGGGCTTGTGTTTCTCCAACAATCAACAATGGATTCACGATCATCATCGGACTCTTAATTCCAGATTTTTTTTTCAAATTTGAATTCAAATTCCTCCATCTGTTGCGGTGGGAATTGAGCCCAAGTCCCCAAAACATTATCTGGGTCTCTAGATTAACAGTCCACCAATACTACCACTAGGCCATCACCTTCCCTCCCCTTAAAGTTAACTTGATCTGAGAGCAAATGGCAGTATTTTGCTAGTAGTAAGTGAAATTGTTTACTTCAACTGAATTTATTCATGTGTGAATCTGGACAGTATCAGATGATGAATATGTGGTGGGGACAACAGAGCCAATTCTAATCCTGTTTACGTCAACATTGAAAGTGCTGGTTATCATTAAGCATTGGTTAAATGTTTGCCTACTCCTAGACCAAACGATACTAAAGTTAATTGCACCAAGCATCTTAAATTGAACTAAGATTAGCTAATTTATCAACGATTGAAAATCAAACCTGGGACCATCTGGGGTGTATGTTATGTTTGGTCACAAATAAGAATCTTTATCCCGGAAGCTAAAAGAGAAGCTATGGTAATATAATTTGTAAACAGTATTAATTATTCAAATACTGCAACTGCATCTATTTTAACAAAAGAAAAGAGAAGTGAAAGTGGTCAGTAGCAAATCAGCTGCCTGTTTGCACTCTACTTGATTTGTAGCTATGAAATGAAACTTGGGTGGAGTGGAGAGAAGCCAGCTGATTTGCTATCACTCACAATACACTGCAGAACAAGATCATTTACACCTCAAGACGTTTATGTATCTTCAATTAACGTAAGCTGAAAAATATTCTGCACATTTGTTTGAAATTTATTTTGCACACAATACGTCAAGAAACACGATGCTAGTACAGTAGCACAGTACATTGAGTATATATGTTGTATTGTCCAGAGCAGACCTCTGGGGCTTGATCAACTGGAGAACTATGGTAACACTAAAAAGACCAACGAGTGAAAGAAACAAAAATAAAAAAAAAATAAGAAATGTAACTATACATCACCCAAAACAGGAAATCTATAAATAGTGCATTTGTATTTTGCAGATTTGGGCAAAACTACTTCAAATTGACACTAATCTGGAATGTAAATGTGGTGTCAAGGCCCCAGTCGACTTTGTAGCAAAGCAAAGTGCATTTGCCTTCACAGATTTTCTCTTAGCTTGACTGTTAACAAATGAGGGCCTGAGTACATGATGCAAACATCTTCTCCCTGCCAATATGGTCACTTTGTGCATGCCACCTAATAAAGTCTAGAATCTAAGGACACACAAGCATTACAGATGCCACTGGCTGAAGAAACCCAGGAAACTGTGGTTACAGTAATTGTACAGCTATGTATTAAACATTGTTACTAGGCAACAACCTTTCAATTTATACAATAGATATGAACGACAGAGGAAATAGTTTCTGGCCTTAATGGGCTGAATTCTGAAAAGAAAGTGAACTGGGTTACATTAAGCAGCAGCTGAAGTTCAAGAAAGGTTTTTACCATATGATAGACAATGTGTACAGATACATGACTAGCAGAAGGTTTAAGAACATTAAGCATTAGTAGTTATATATGTGTATATGAATAGCTGAAATTATAGGTCATTATTCTGTGCAAATGGACTATTCTATCTGGAATTGTGTTGCGATGTACTTGACGCATTGTATTGAGTATGATAATACTGACATTATTTCAGTATCACACAAAATCAGAGGCATGATACTGAACACATACTGAAAACATACTCCAATAGCAAATATAGAATGCACAACTACTCCCCACATTAAATCACGTGTTAACGCCCACATCACTCATCAGATGATTAACATGTTAAACCGAGACCCTACCTGCTGTTTCAAGTTTACATAAAAAGATTACATGGTACTATTTAAAGAGGAGGATGGTAGTTCTCTCCAATATCCAGGTCAATATTTATCCCTCAACCAATATCACAAACAGATTATCTCATCATTATCCAATAGCTGTTCAGGAGTCTTGATATACATAGATTTTCTGCAATATTTACAGTCATAAAGTCATACAGCTTGGAGTCAGGCCCTTCGGCTGAACTTGTCCACGCCAAACAGGTTTCCTAAACTGAAGTAGTGCCATTTGCCTGCATTTGGCCCATATCCCTCTAAATCTTTCCTATATATGTACCTGTCCAAATGTATTTTAAATGTTGTGATTATACCCACCTCTACCATTCCCTCTGGCAGCTCGTTCCATACATGCACCACCCTCTATGTGAAAAAGTTGCCCCTCAGGTCCCTCTTAAATATTTCCATTCTCACTTCAAACCAATGCCCTCTATTTTTGGACTCTTCTATATATGGAAAAGATCTTGGCTATTCTCCTATCCAAGCCCTGCAATACATTATAAACCTCAATAATGTCACTCTTCAGCCTCTTACACTCCAGGGGGGAAAAACCCCTTCTGACTCAAATTTTCCAAATCCGGTAACATCTTTGGAAATCTTTTTTGCACCATTTTCAGTTTAATAGTATTCTTCCAGTAACAGGGGAACCAGAATTGCATGCAGTACTC